TAAAAAAAAACGCCGAAGCCAAAAATTCCACATAAAAAAGAGAATGATTTACATAACTATACTTTAATATATTTTTTGTGATTTTGACTAATCATGTAATTGTTCAAATCGTTATACATACATATATCGGATTCTGCTCATCGCAGAGACTTCACCTTAACGTCGTTTTAAAGCTAAAAAAAGCTGGCTTAACACTTATCTGTATATGTAAGATCGCCGCCTGAGTAAAAGATTGTCGTATGTTAATTTCAACAAAGTCTCCGAAAATGTTACTACTTCACAAAATTCTTAAAGTATTTAATTTTTAATGTTTATTGCTAATTAGTTTTGAGTTTTTGAAGGATTTTCTTTAGTAAAATTTTTTTCGTAAGCGTCATTTGTCCACAATTTGGCAACCACTTTGTATGAAATACGACAAATGTGATCGAAATTTCTACTAAATTAACGACACTTTTTACTCAATATCTCGGAAACTAAAGGAGATATCCAAAAATGGAGAACGCCATTTTTAAGGTATTGATTACTTCAATATCACTGCATTACTAACTAAATTTTAAATAAATAAAATCGTCAAAATTTCGCTTACGACAATCTTTTTTGCCAGGCGACGAGATGGTGATGATTGTCCTTAAGCTAACTTAACTATTAAAGTTGAACTTTTTGAAGTTAAATAAAGTGAAATAATTTAATTGAAATAAACTCAACAAACATTTTGAAATAAAGTAAATAATGCTATTTCCTCATTCAAATGGAAATAGCGTCAACAACTCTTAAAGGATGGTGATTCAAAGAAAAAAATGTTGTTCTTGTATCGTAAGTGAGATAAGCATGTTTTTACAATAATAAACTGTCCACTAAGTGTTGTTTCCATAGATAAACTGGTATAATTTCACATGCAATTGGAAGTGTAAGAGTGTTTAAATACGACAGATTTCCTTGTAGCTAAATGCCGCTAAAGGTGTTCATACGCGATATGTATTTGCATCTGTAAATTTGCGTATATCTGTCGTGTAAGAACATCTTAACTAGTATAGTTTTTCTATTTGACTTCTACCTTTCTCCAGACTAGGTGCGTATAATTTTCTGGGCTGGGCTAGGTTGAAAATTTTACTTTTTTCTAGGAAAATTACTTTATTTTTATTAAACTCTGTGCGTCTGTACTGTCGTACAATTCCATAAGTAACGTAAGGAAAAATTGGGTTAGGATTGGGTCCCGATACGAGTATTTTGTTCTTGGTATCGAACGAAAAGTATCTCTAGATGTGCGACTCCATTGAGCATTTAATGCGTTTATACTATTTTTTTTTTATCTAAAATTATTTCAATCTCGCCCCTTGTGTTGCATAATTTTCGCATATACATACATAAATAACACAAAATGGCAAAATAAAAATAAGCAAAATCTCCCAGATGTACTTAATGAGATGCCAGGCGTGTCGCTTTGCGGTCACGCAGCAGGCAGCAGAGGCGAACGCTGAAATGCCGCCATGTGGGGGATTAAAAGCGTTGGTGTGTGCTCTCAAATGTATGCAACTTTTAATAAATTCCAGTAACCCCCACTACGCTACGCGCTCAACTACGCCTCTTTGAAGCAACTTACCCGTTACCAACTGTCTGCCTAACAACGTTCACTTTGAAACTTACCACAAATGTGCACGAGCACACAAACTTATAATGCAAAGTTGCTTACTGTCATTGCCGTTTTTTTTTTTTATTCGTGCAGCGCGCTATAAGGTAAAAAAGTACAACAAAAACACACAAGTATCTAACATGGCAAGATGACACTTGGAAATAAACATTAACCGCAACTGTGATGCGCTTGAAAAGCGCATTTATGCAACAGACAGTCAAAAATAAGAAGAACAAGCAACCTTAAATGAACCAAATAGTATGTCTGAGTAAAAAAAAGTGTTGCAGACTGAAAGTTGCAAGCAAGTATGTGCACTTTTTATGTATATGAACTTCGTAATCTGCACAAGATCTTTTACGCTCGCACACTCATCCGCCACAGGGATTGCATGAATACTTTTGCTTGCCACTTGTTCTTGCACTTGCATGCCATAACAGCGCCTCCATTGCTTGCTTCTGTTTAAATCTGTATGCATGTATGTATGTACATACATATGTTGTGCAATACTCTCTAAGGCGTTCCTGAAGTTGCTTGTTAAGCCGCATAAATACACATAAATATGTAGATGAAAGGCATTTATACAGCACTTGAGACCAAAAGCGGTATTTTTTGTTTAAAAAAAAAAAAAAAAAAAAATACGAAAGTGTTGTCTAGTGGCGTTAAAATCATATGTGATGGTTTTAAATTTGATACTTTTATAACTTTTTTTAAATGTGTTTAAAAGCGTTATGGAGCTAAGAAAACCCTAAATTGTTATACCGTTATTTAATATTTAATTTCATTATTTTTGATTGAGAGTCGAGAATTTATAAGAGCGTATGAGTATGAAATTGACATTGTCGGTCTTAACATCAGGGCCTCCAACTTTCAAATCTGAGTAAAAAAGTAAGAAAAAGTGGTTGGTCGAGTAGCTCTGAAGTTTTGAAAGATTTTTATATTCGGCTTCAGCACCTCTAAAAACGTCTGCCTGGTTATGAAGCCAAGAACAAATCTTAAAAATATGTAGCTTCTAAATTTTACTCGGTAGCTCGGGTAGAGAAAAACTTATCGCGTACGACTCAGAAAAGTTGTCGAGAAAGTAAGAAAGTTTTGAGTACTTTTCTGAGAGCATTTCTACGCGAGATAAATTGCCCTTACGGCGTGGGCGACGCTTATAAAAGTTCTTAGATGTAATGACGAATAGTTTTTGATTTCTATTGACATGAACCGTAGTCACGATGGCAATGAAGCTATTGAGCAAATGATTCACTGAATTGCTGATCGACGAACAAACTACTTAAGCCCTCGCAACCTGTACTTTGTACTATGGTCTGGAGACTACTGTTTGCTGCCCAAATGGATTTGAAAGTTGGTGTTTGGGGTCGCTGATTTCTAATCTGATGTAAGATTTTTGAAAATGGTGGATCTAATATGACGACCAAATTTTATAATTTTTTCTATTCAGCAAAATGTATATACATATAATGCAAAATGGCAGATCCAAGGGGGGTTATCGGGTTCTCAGAAAACCAATTCCAATTTAAAATAGCGGACCACATTTTTGCCATAACGTAACGATCAAGTTTGAAAAAAAGATGCAAAAATGCATTTTTCACCTATGTAAGTACTTACATATCATTCTTGATCTTTTTTTTGCGTAGGTTTTATATTCTTCGGGGAGCACCCCTTTAATAATATTTTTCAGCAAAAAGGTGACTGCTAATTTTTAAACATCTAAAAGCATGGAAAACATCACTAGTTTTTGGCATCACATGCCCCTAAGTTAGATCAAATTCATGCCGCATGTGTTCAACGAATGAGGTGAGTGACTAAACCTTGTATGCTCAGTCTCGGGAGTAGTTTTTTATTCGAATCTATGGGCAGTTGCCAAAAAATTTCACAAAATGTTGTTCTAACAAAAGTGCCCTGTTCTGGTCCCACTGATTATTTTGGTCAGTTTTTAGACGCAGTTTTTCTGGTAACATTGCGAACCTTAATCGTCTGTGCGAAGCTACACAGTCGCTAACCCAACCGATATCCAAGCGTACTTGGGCACGATAATGTTCTTTACTTTTTTTCAGTCCAATCGAAAGGAAGTATAAACTCACGTCCCAAAAACACCGTTTAATCAAAATGAATAAGTAACGGGTGATTTTTTTGAGGTTAGGATTTTCATGCATTAGTATTTGACAGATCACGTGGGATTTCAGACATGGTGTCAAAGAGAAAGATGCTCAGTATGCTTTGACATTTCATCATGAATAGACTTACTAACGAGCAACGCTTGCAAATCATTGAATTTTATTACCTAGAAAAGTTGGCAGAAAATCCGCTTTTTTATCGACAAATTTTGTTCAGCGATGAGGCTCATTTCTGGTTGAATGGCTTCGTAAATAAGCAAAATTGCCGCATTTGGAGTGAAGAGCAACCAGAAGCCGTTCAAGAACTGCCCATGCATCCCGAAAAATGCACTGCTTGGTGTGGTTTGTACGCTGGTGGAATCATTGGACCGTATTTTTTCAAAGATGCTGTTGGACGCAACGTTACGGTGAATGGCGATCGCTATCGTTCGATGCTAACAAACTTTTTGTTGCCAAAAATGGAAGAACTGAACTTGGTTGACATGTGGTTTCAACAAGATGGCGCTACATGCCACACAGCTCGCGATTCTATGGCCATTTTGAGGGAAAACTTCGGAGAACAATTCATCTCAAGAAATGGACCGGTAAGTTGGCCACCAAGATCATGCGATTTGACGCCTTTAGACTATTTTTTGTGGGGCTACGTCAAGTCTAAAGTCTACAGAAATAAGCCAGCAACTATTCCAGCTTTGGAAGACAACATTTCCGAAGAAATTCGGGCTATTCCGGCCGAAATGCTCGAAAAAGTTGCCCAAAATTGGACTTTCCGAATGGACCACCTAAGACGCAGCCGCGGTCAACATTTAAATGAAATTATCTTCAAAAAGTAAATGTCATGGACCAATCTAACGTTTCAAATAAAGAACCGATGAGATTTTGCAAATTTTATGCGTTTTTTTTAAAAAAAAGGTATCAAGCTCTTAAAAAATCACCCGTTATTTGCAAAGAAATCACCAATTCCATCTTGATCAAAAAGGGCTTAGTTGCTACTAGCCTGCGTCTACTTGAAGAGACTAGAAAATATTTTAATGCGGTAAACTCTTTGCCTTAATAAAATAGGAAATACAATGGGCAGCTCTCACAACAGGAATTCTATTCCAAATAAGAAAACAAACAAAGACTAGGTCAGATTCAATAAATTAAATTAAATGATAGTGCGATAAGAAGAAACTCGAGCTCGTCGTTTGCTTCACTGAGGCATGCGTCATAGAACTACGCACTTCAGTTGATTTCAAGTCTTGCCTGCGATCGCATTACTAAATAGTTTCCGTGCGTGTACGGTACACATCTATCGCAAGATGCTAAACATTGCCAAGGCATTACTTGCACTCTTGCTACTGCAAATTAGAGTAGATGCTTCATTAGCCAAAGCACCGTCGCCACAGTACAACAATGCAACACTTAAACTCTCGCGGGGCATACAAATGGCAGCATACATGAATGTGAAGGCAAATCCGTGCGATGATTTCTACAGCTGGGCCTGTGGACGTTGGCCACTTAATCATCCAGCGACACAATCGAAACGAAAAACATCATTCATAGGACTGTTGGAAGATTTGTATGTCAGTAAATGTGCGCAAGCGCTACAGCAGCCCATTAGTAGTAACGGCGCAGCTGCGACTGATATATATTTGGATAATTTGTTGAAAACGGTATTCGATTCATGTCAGGGCATTCAGTCAATAAATATCGTGGGCTACGCGCCTATTTGGGATACTTTGGAGCTGCATGGCGGTTGGCCACTCATAACTGACGGCGAGTGGTTTGAAACCGAATTTGACTGGCTGAGATCGGTGGTGCTGGCGAAACGCAAATTCAATGCTGATGTTTTTATTGGCTTCAAAGTGGTGAAAGACTTGCAAAACTCGGAAACGAATCGCATACAATTAGGCGCACCGCAGCTAACGTTGGAGAATCCCGCTGAGCAACGCAAGTATATAGCGGGCAAGTTGGCGCGCTTCTTTCCCGAAATGTCAAACGCTTGGTCACAGGAAATCGCATCGCAGGTAATTCAAGTCGAAGAGCAATTGGCCAGGGCAGTGTCAAATGCCAGCAGCGAAGATACGCCTCTTGACCGATACGTTGCCGAACTAAAGGTGTCTTATGGCAATTTCGTGGATTTGAGTCGTTACCTCCAACTCATGTTTGATCATTCAATTAACGAGAAGGTCTACGAAACACCAAAAGGTTACTTCAAGAACCTAGTTGATATCATCAGACTAACACCCAAACTGACGCTGGCTAATTATACAATCTGGAAGGTTTTGGATCAATTCGATCTGGGTGGCAGCAAGCATTTCTGCGTGCGTAAACTTATGGAACTTCTGCCACAAGAGCTCGAATATTTTTTCTATCGCAATTACGAAGACTCGCAGCTGTTCGTGGAGGTACAGACCCTATTTCACAATCTAAAATACAACCTTTATGATGAAATTCAAACTTCGCCCAGCTTCAATTGGATATCGCCGCCAACACTGCACAGCTTAAGAGAAAAGCTGAGATCTATGCGCATGGAAGTTTTGCAGCCGCAGGATAAGGTTAGCCTCTTCCAAGGTGGAATTAAACCCGCCGACATGCAAGTCGATCAGTACTACAGCAACCTTATCAATCTATTGGAGTGGCAGAATGAGAAGCAGCTATTGAAATTGCATCAGGCCGCCTCGCTGCTTAGTGCGCCACAAAGTAGCACACACTACGAACAGAAATTGCTGCCCGCTTACAATGCGCGCACGAATACCATACAATTCCCAGTGATGTCCTTACAAAAGCGCTTCTTCTGGGACCCCGCCTATCCTATGGCCATCAAGCACGGCACATTCGGGTTCATTCTGGCGCAACAAATTGTACGTGGCCTAAGTGAAGATAATAGCGAAAATGACGAACATAAATTGTGGGATGTTGCCTCTGAATTGGCGCTCGCTAAGCGTACCAGCTGTTATGCGCAGCAGGCGCCTTATGCTGCAAAGGAGTTTCACGGCAGAAATGTGACTGATCGCGAGCGGCTGAAGAAGGCACTCATCGATAACGGTGGCCTTTCGATAGCTTACCGCTTATATGAGAAGTGGGCACGCGGCCGACACGAGCGTGAGCTAGACGTGCTCCCACGACTATCGGTGACGCACAGGCAGCAGTTTTTCCTTGCCTATGCGCAGCTGTTCTGTGCGACGGACTATGAAGATGTAACGCAGTACGAGAATCTACCGGAAGCGTTGCGCGTAAATGGTGCGGCAACGAATTTGGAAGAGTTTGCAAAGGAATTTCAATGCAGTGACGAGAGTAAACTGAAGCCAAAAGACAAATGTGTTATTTTTTAGTTTGTTAAACTTTTGTGTTGAATTTAGTTTTAATTTGCGATATGCATATTTATGTCTTTTACTTAAATTACACTAAAACGTGTACTAAAATACAATTCATTGAAGCATTTTAGTGAACTAATATTTTCAATTTTTATCTTATGTTACGATTCACTTGTTACTTGGACTGAATAGTCGATGTTAGCAATCGTGTATTAATGAATCTCCATAAGATTTGCGAGAAGAATTCATGGTGTATCGAGCAAATCGATTTTTCGATCGACTACATTCGCGTTTAAAGCAAACGCTTTAATACACTTAAGGAAAACTGCAACTTTGTATGAAGGTGGAAAATCAGAAGCTTGATAAGCTAAATTTATTAGATAAGAGTTTATTTAAAATATTTGCGGATTTATCATACGAGTTTTTAAATTTCAATTTTTTTCTTTAGTCGCGATATTGATGCAGTGGTGTTAAATGAGCATTTTTCAATCAAAATTTTCTAAAACTTAGTCAAACAAAGCTCAGTCAAACAGCTCAGCAAACTGCAGTTTAAAGTAAGTTTTGTAAAAACACATTTTCTGAGCCACAGTAGCGAAAGTTAGAAAATATTTATAAAGAGGTTTTTAAAAAGTAAGAAAAAAATCTGTGGATCCCAGAACTTATAAATACCATAAATACGAGTAACCTTGAATCTGTTTGAATTAAATTTCTTTTAAATAAGAGCCTTACCTAATTTTCATAGTTTTTTTCCATTTTCGGCTTTCATTTCTGGCTTTAAGTTACCCAAAACGCGAAAAATTAAAAGCAAGTCTAAACCGTTTCTTAAATAAAAATTAAGAAACGGTTTTTTGTTTAGAATAACTCTAAAACCCGGTTTGGAAAAATTTGAATAATCGAACAATCTAGGACGGATCTATGACTTATTGGTTTTGGAATTAAAACAACTTTGACTTTTTTTTAGTTTTTTTGGACTGTAAATTGAGGTGAAGCTGGAGTTCCATAGAATTTTTTTCGTACCCTATACGCGAATGACGTCCAAGTCCATGACTTAAATTTTCGGCCACAAAAAATTGTTTATCATGCGTAAAACGCTTCATTTCGTTCCGCGGAGGTATGTTACTAACTTTCTGTCAATATTTATACTATTAAAAAAAAAAATAGTAAATGGACTACCCGTTACATACATACATAAGTATAAAAACATCTATTTACTTTTTAGGAGCATTTATCTACTTTGGGGTAAAATTTTTTCCGAAAATTAAGAACAATTTGAAAATCTAGCTGTTATTTGTTTATAAAATCAAACTCTAACCTACTTGGAAGAGTGGCATGTAAATTTCGACTCGATTTACCTTTAATAAAGCACTAATGTGGCAATTATTAATTTTATTTAACTGCAGTACATTTCAGTTATTCCATTTTTAAAACTCATCAACATTTTAATATAAACAAACTTAAAACTTAATTAGAACATTTAAGTATGTCGCAAGAGTCTATTAAAAGTTTCGAGATAACCACTTGACCCGCCCTACTCAGGGAGCGTGACGCTGCGGTTTAGCAAATATTTTAGTTTAGAAATGCGTCCAAGCAAAGCAAAAATACTTTCTGGTTTCATTCACAAACGGTAGAAAAAAAATGAAATACAACAACAGTGAAACACTTATCTACACGTTAAGCAGCTGGTATGCAAACAATCATACGCACCATGAAATAAGCAACAGGCTACTGATAACATTTACATAGTAGGCAACAAGCGGCTGACGAGATATGAATACAATAAGTGGATGACACAATAAATACCCCAGGCATCGATTAGGCCAATTAATGGGTGCATATACATACATACACAGATATCGACATATGCCCATTAGATGCAACAAGCTGAGCAGATCGATATAATGTGGCAAATGTTTGAAACTCAAACCGATTAGAACGCCGCCAAATAGCTGTCAGACAAAGCAAATATAGTCCCAAAATTTATGCGAAATTTAGGGCAAGAGTACGTGTCTAGTACATACATATGTATGTAGAAAATAATCAGAGCGAGTGTGTGTGTGTGTGTGTGTGTGTGTAACACTTATGTTGCATTTATACACTGACTGACCGACCGAACAATCGACCGACCAAAGTGATGATATGTTGGCAGATGTTGTACTCCTAACCCAAAGCTATCATTACCGCATTATGCACACAGAGGCATGCTTAAAGATGCCAGCTGACATGAACATGAACAAACAAACACACCCGCATATGTACCTACTTATACATAAATAAGTGCAGTTTTGCGTAGCCTTGCGACTCGGGGAACTTCATTAGCAGCTGAGGTTGTTTGGGCAGGGCGTTGAGTGCTTAGCTCTGTGCTTACTCGCACTCTTGTTATTGCTATTTTTACTATCCAGCAAACCTTTTTGTTTGAGCTTTCCTTACAGGACACTGCACACTGAGAGGGCAACTCTAAAAGCTGGGCATATGGTCAACTTATCTTTGTCGGTTTAGCGACTCGACCAGTGAGACACTGCTACATATTTTCAGCGAGTGTGCGCCATCTGCAGGAAGACTCGATGTGACTTGAGCACATTCGTATCATATCTCCGAAGGCGCTACCGCTATTCCCGAGGGATCTAAGTTTATAAAAATAATTGTGAAGAGGTCACACGAGTGTACCCCTTATTTTAATATCTGTCAGTATATCCAAATTTGGAGACAATTTTTTCTTGCGTTTGCTGGGTAGTAACGCTCGCAACTCGACAACTTCGGTTGTGTGTGTGTGTCTAGATATTCATTGTTGTCATTGCCAACGTTGTCCTTGTCATCGTCGTCGTCGTCGTCGTCGTCGTCGTCGAGTTGTTTTCATTATTGCATTAACTCTTCTCCGTAGGCGAAAGTGACCAAACGGGCGTAGAATAAAAAGCAGAAAAGCATAGTGAAAAACCTAGAAAATTAGATCTGTTGCTCGTTGACCAGCTACTCAATTCACCGCCAACAACACCGTAATCAACCAAAGTAAGCAACAGCCTCATTGGCTCCTCAGCTCGCCTGCCGGCAATCGCTTGCTCTGCGCCGGAATAAAAATGCAATAATTAAGCCTGTATTGGTTGGCTACTGTAAATTGGCCTCGACTGCTGGTTGAGCTGGTTGGTTGTCTTCAATGAGGCTCGAATAACCTACTGAGTTGCTTGCTTAGAGTACACAGCAGCCTCCAAACGACATAATTGCATGCAAAAGTCATTACCATACGTCCACTGCTTTTTCTCCACTTACTTAAAAGTTTCTAGCCTAACACCGCTTTTGCTGCTGCCTTGTACTAATACGTTGGTCCAAGTTGAACTCACAGAGACGTGTACTTAATACACGACGGGCAGTTAGTTTGGAAGGCAAGCGATTTTGTGCCAACATTTGTGCGTTTTGTGATGAACTCACGAACAACAAGTAAGAATGATTGCAGCCCCAATTTAGAGTACATAAAACTTCAGTTAAAATAGCTCAGGCAAATAGAGGGAAAAAAAATCAATTATGTAATATACATACATTTACATATATGTAGTCATAGGACTACAATATATTGCTGGAAAATACTTAGAACCCAAAAGTTTATAAAAATTTCAAATAAAGTATGAATATGAACGAACAATGCCATAAGTTTGCTCATTCATTACATCCTTGAACAATTCCAAAAGTTTGCGAAAAATATACATTCAGGTATTACAGATTGCATTAGATGGCATACAAATTTGTTTCGCCTATATGGAGGCAGGTGGAAAGAGTCGTGGTGTCAGTTGGTTTAAAAAACTGATTAGACATAGAGAGAGAAAAATAAAAGTCATATACACTTAGGTCTCTTTTTATGCGGTTTTTTAAACTATTTTTTCGATGCAGTGATTTTGCTTTTTTGAGAGTTATTATTACTTTTTTCAGTATGTAAGAGACAATGCTTTTGATAAATAATTTGTCTTTGTATTCTTACATAATTTATTGATTTCTTTAATATTCAGTTTTCGCGCGACTTTGCAATTGTATGTAATGTATGATTTTCTTAATTTTTTTGTTTTCGAAAAATCGCACCAAACTTTGAGAGAAAAGAGAATATTTATATCAATGTAGCTTTTGAAGTACAATGTTAGCTTTTCAGAGAGAATGGAAAGCAGAAAACAAAAATTAATCAAAATTACACCGTTTTTAATGATGAGCCATATTTTCTACGAACTCTAGACGTTATAGTGATCCAATCTTCCCCGTATTTTATATTTAGGGTTTTCTAATAAAAGAAAGAGTACAAATTGAATTTCATCGAAATCGGATAAAATTTAAGGTTTCCGCCCACAAGCAAGGAGGGCGTAACAATCATCCCATCTTTACCAAATTTCAAAACTCCCTATTTCTAAGTAAAATTAGAGCACATGTTAAGTTTCAGCAAAATCGGTGTAGGTTAACTATTATTTCCCCCTACCTTCATATAGACGAAACACTCTGCGCTGGTTCAAAAACGCCCTATCCCAGAAAACTTTTGAGGAACGCTCTACCTCAGAATTTGGTTGAAGAACGCCTTATGTCGGAATTTAATTCAAAAACGCCCTATCTAAGAATTTCTTTCAAAACCGGGCGTTTCTGAACCGAATTCTGGAATAGGGCTTTCTTCAATCAAATTCTGAAATAGGGCGTTCCACTCAAACGTCAAAATATAAATATACATGCGCATATGCATATAAAAAAGCCTACGACTTATCGTTCGGTTCGGCTTTGGCTTCGGCTTCGGCAAAAAGAATTGAACTATCTCTAGCTCAACATGCTGCAGCCTTAATACGGATTAACGGCGCGGTTTATCCGCTTTTTACTTTCTTCTAAAGCTATATATCCCCCTTTTACTTCTACTCTTTAAATCTACCTTAGCTAATCACTATAACAATTTCTAAAATATCTCTTTTAGAACAATCAACCTTCACCGTTTTTCCTTGAATTCAAAGAAAGTCCTTATCCCCATTGCATACTCATACATACGTACATACAAACATATATAAATG